CACCATATGTATTTTACAGGGTACAAACACTAGTAAAAGGTACCTTCTTCACCATTGCTGATATAATCAGATTCTCCTTTCCTTAAAATGGTTACACCCCCTAATCTGATCAAGAAAGGATATCATTTTGTCAGTGAACTGTAGCACATAGTAACTATGCTGTTGAAGATAATGAGATAGCAACATATTGTCTCACTAACATGATAAAGAAAAAATTCCCAACAAAATTCCATTTGAAGATGAAGCAACTGAAGAATTAAAGAATGCTAGAAAAATGAACACAGAATTTTACCCTTTCGCAAGAGAAAGTAATTGCTGAGGTCCATCTTGATCATTTACTTCACAATTTAAAACTTTCTGAACGAGTCGCTTATACTCATTAATGTTAGGAGTCAGGACAGCCAAGTGATAATCTCTGACCAAGTCAAGGCAATTTGTAACAAGAAAAAGCCCATCCTGAGAAACCCATAGAATACATTTCAAAGACTATAGTATTTGGGTGGACGATATCACAAGCAATCCTTTCAAAGGAAACTAAAGTCATTTTCTCTATTACGCACCCCATCTACGACAATCGGGACATTGGATTCCCTGGCATGCTTCATGATCTCACTGACACAGTCCTGAAGATGTAATACATGTTTAGTCAAGATCTTTAGTTATAAATAAGGCAGATTTTATTTGATATGACAAGAAGCAAACATGTAGCAAAACTGGTTCAAAGGGAGGAGAAAGGGAATTATTTTAAGAATAAACATATTACAATAGATAAATTCGAAATCAAAAGTTTTGCAGAACAATTAAAACTTTCTATGCAGGTCGATATGATGCTTCCAGATCAAAACAAATCAAGAATGCTCAGTAGCAAGAGATGAACAGCATGAATTATATATACTAAAAAGTTTGTCAACATATGAAGAGGACATAGAAAAGGTTTCTAGTTACAATATCTGTTAAGCACATGGAAGTCTATTTACATTAAATATTCTCTAAACCTTATGATTGAAACCAATACTTAGAAGTATCACTTGCAGAAATTAGGCTCTTGGGATGTTTATTCCGAAGACTGTTAAATTAGTCTAAATTAAGTAGATATTTGCTTTTATGAAGGTTTATCAACAAAAACACTAGTTATACACAATGCAACTCACCCAATACAACTAAAAACAGAACAATACTTATCAGATAGTCAGTATCTAATTAAGTATATGGCCAAAACAGATGGTATCTACTTATCTATACAAAAAATTATGCAAAAAAATATTATGCTCTAAATAAAAACGCACCAGGAGAAACGGGTCTCTCCCCAGACCTGGACCGACGACTAAACAATCAAATCTCCCCATCCACTTATCAACCTCAGCGATCACCTTGTCTGATGTTGATCTTTTATACTCATCCCTAGATACATCATTTCAGAACTATAAGCACTCCAAAGAAAAATTCAGTAGAATAAAACAAAAAAATAGATTTAACAAGAATTTACTAAACAACGATAAAGTTCATTAAGGAAAGATATTACCTAACACTATAAGATTCTTCCAGTATAGGGTGCACGATCAACTCTGGGCTGTAACCTTTAATAACTGGAGCAGCATCTTTTGTACAGAATACATGCGATAAATCGGCGCCCTGAGAAAATAGATAAATATTCACTCAAAATACCCAAATAGAAGTCTTTGATGCAAAAGAAAACCTCTTCATTCCTCTTGACTAGCGAAATAACAGAATGATTATTTTCAATGTGGAGACAGAGGCTAAGGTGAGGATAACTGACAATTTTCAAAGCTGAAATAGCAGAAAAGTATGGAGCTCCTGTGTATTCACGGCAACCACCCACAACAGCTATCTTCCCTGGTCGTGGATCAGACATTTAATAAATGAGATAAGAGCTCAAATCCAACTGCATGCAGTATAGAGGTGACATGTAATATATTCCACCAAACCAATTTGTTGAAGCCTCAATCAAAAGTCAAGTATAAATCACTAATTAATAGTGAATGATAACCTATGACCAGCAATGAACACGTTGCAAATGCTAATCAAAATTAATTAGTGGCAGAATTCTGACTCAATCAAGTGAGGCATAAAGCATGTAAATAATGTCAAATCAGATTTTTCATAAAGCTAGTGGTTAATTAACTCCTAAAAAGAACAAATTCATAAAAAAAAATCCGCAGATACCTATACTTGCACTGTAAAATTTATCTAGTAATCTAAGCCACATGCAAGAATGAGCAAATTATTGGAGGCAAACCAATTTGTGAAACGGATGACCTTACAACATAGCATGACTTCAAAGGCACAGTTCCTAAATTCCCCAGCCAAGCTAGCCCAAATGATGGTGGACAAAAGCACTCAATCTTTTAGTTTTCATTTGTGTTTGCAAAATATCTCAATAATACGTATGCCTTTCATAGAATCATATATGAATATCATATTTCTCTATCCTCTTTACAAGGCCATAAAATGATCATCAACACTGAAATCAAGTCGTAAAAGATATTATAGCAAACTATCGAATAGGAGATAGATGTGACTAAATGGATATTGTAAAAATCAAATTTCCGATAAATTCAAGACATTGTATCATCCCAAAAATTTGCATATCAACCGAAAATTATACTAACAAAATAACAGAAATTAAAAAAAAAAAAAGAGAGAAATAAAATTGAATAGGATGTGTGATTAGCATCATCACCAGCTTGGCCTTTATGCCTAGACGGGCCTAAAGAAGGAGTAATTGATCTCAAAATGTTGATCACGTCACTCTCCAAAGTGAGCCCACCAGCACCAGTCACAATAGATTGCATTCTGAGAGAACTGTTGTGAAGATTCTTGTTTACACTACTATTTCCTCCTCCCAAACACCTTACCAAGAATTGCTGCCTCCTGATTACAGCAGCAGAATTACCCACCATAAAGTTCTCCCAAAACTGTCCAAGAAATTTCGAGTAAGATTCAATTTTGATATTTATATAACCATTTTACTGCCATTTAACCTTACAGCTATACCGATAATATGAGCATTCTCAATGTAATATGTAAATTAATATAGATGATAAATATATGAAAATTTGCGTTAAAATGTTTTTTATGAAGGAAATTGCATTACAATTAAAAGGGTACTTACAGAACTTGGATTTGGATAAACGCAGAAGAAGAAGATCAACTGTGGAAATGGAATCGGCAAACGATTCTTTTTTTTTTTTTTGCCTGGCGGTGGGAAGAGTTGATAGATAGAGACCTTAATTGCTCAAAGGCGCGTTTGCAACATCGCGTTTTTAGAAGTCCTCCTCTTAATGAACCTTTCTGAGTTTCTGTCCCCTCCCACGGACCGGCACTGTCCCCCCGTTGCCCTGTATGCGTATATCTCATTCTATTTGTATCTTCGAGAGAGAAATACTTTGTTTTACTTTTATATTTATTATTTTTTTAAAAATATGAATATCTATAATCTATTTAAATATCGCATCAAGTGAGAATCATTTTCTCGACCATTTTAGCCATACTACAATTTATTCCCTGTTTGTCTACCATTTTTCAAAACATTGTTTTCTACAGTAATCAATCTCCACCACACATTCAAATAATAAAATATTCTACACATAAACCAATAAAGTTTCTTTCAATTTTAACCACACATTCTCCAAAAAATACTATTCAAAACATCATTCTTTCTCCCATAATGGGAGACAAACAAGCTCTTAATTATTTCAATAATTTCTTGCTTTTCGTTTTTAATATATATTTAATCGAATATTAATTATTAAACATGCACACAAATCAATAATTGAATTGTACGATAGCAATCAAATCGATTTATGAACATAAAATTTAATTAATTTGAATTAATAGATATAGAAAAATAATAATTTATATACATTTAAACAAAGGAGTGTACATGAACCAACATGAAATTTAATTAATTTGAATCAATGAATATAGAAATATGATAATTTGTATACATTTAGACAAATGGGTTATATTATAGAGTAAATGAATAATATTTAAATTAAATTTGAATCAATGAACTTAAATAATTTATCTACTTCTATAATAATTGAATATCAACCAAATTATATGATCTTTAATAATTTATGATAAAATAAATACGTGTTCATGAACTTGGAATAATTTATTTACTCCTAAAATAATTGAATAACTCCCAAAACATGTGTACATGAATTTGATGACTTGATGTTATATTTAATATATCTATAAATAAATGTTAATTAGTATATATGCACATACATAAATAATTGAACTGTAGTATTTTTAGAATAATTGAACAACCTAAAAAATATATAAAGTGTGCATGCATGAACTTGAAAAATTAATTAATTGAATTATAGTAGAATATATATAAATTAATGTTAATTATTATCATACACGTAAATAAATAATTACATTGTATAAAAAGTTCATTTCACGTAAACAATTTTTTATATTCACTGATTTTCAATATCATTTTTATAGTGTTTATAAAGTATTTCAAAATAACGTGCAACGAACGTTTAGCCGTGACATACAAATACGTCTTTGTGTGTCTTCTAACTGGCTTTTGGAACAAAAATCATTATTAGATATGATACCGTAGGAGCTAATTAGTAATTAATGGAAAATTGAATGATAAGAGTGCGACAAAAAGTTGATGATATAAGTATTATAATAAATAAAAATTAAGAATTTTAAGTGTAAAAATAGGGCAATTTTATTCACACCATAATTTTTATTTCTTGCATCACATTTCAGTTGTACTTAAGATTCTTAATCTTTGTTCATTATAGCAATTGTGTCTCTAAATATTTTCCATGTCGTTTTTATTAGTTAACAAATTTTGCATTTGATAATATTTTATGTCCAAAAGTCTATTAAAAAGATGTAAAACAACTTGTTTTTCTATTATATTTTTTAAAAAATAAATAAAAAGTGCGAAAAATATTTTTTCCTCATTTCAAAACTTGAAAACAAGACATTTTTATATAAATCATCATCAATGACGAGATGTACAAATTAATGAAATGTTGAAAATAAGATTTTGACCGAAGAAAATTAAGGAAATGCATGTCACAATGAGGAAAGACCAAGGAGCTTAATTTCAATTAAAATGTGGCGTAACAAATAAAAATTGTGCTGTCAATATTAGGGCTGTCCGTGGGTCGATTCGGTTCCGTTCTGAAGAGATCCGAACGACCCAAAACTTTCGGGTATTTAATAAATGGAACTGTCGGGTCCAAATATAATTATGGAACCATTCGGGTTCGGTTCGGTTCGGTTCCGTACTATAATTAAATTTTTTAATATTTACAACAACATTACATAAATACAATTAATGACATTTCATTCTAACTATTACAAATTAACGTAGCCCGATTCAAAAACATATAAATAACTAGCCATCCAATAAGATTAATTCAATACATAAAAATACCAAAAAATAGATATTAATATTAGAGGAAATTACACCACGCAGCTTTTCTCAGTATAGCCGACCCAGAAATGCACCCCAAAATCGTAGGACTCGTGCTCCACCCCCCTTCAGCAACACACTGACGAGCCCAGGAAAGAAATACAGCAACACTGGTGGTAAAGGCCAAGACAATTTTAATGCTATAATGTACAATACTATCTGCGAGTAAAATTCGATCAAAACAACCTCTTATGTCGGAAATATTTGAGGAAGCTGTGCAAGGGAATCATGTACTGATATTTGTGAAAAGAAACAAGGAAAAAAAAATCCTAATGTTCATTCCTTCCTCCGTAAAATGTATGTAGTTGATTTGGACAAACGCAACAAAGAGTTCGCCAATCAACAATATTTCCAAAAATATTCTAAGCTTCTTCATTCCCACCAAAAACACGAGAAGACGAAAGATGCAAAAAAGTCCTCAAAACTGGATAAGTACCATAAATACTTAAGGACATAAAAAACTCAAAAGAGAGAAAAATTTCAGGGTTATGCTACATATATATAACAATTTACATAATGGTTTACCAACGGATGATATGACGAGATTCAATTGGATCAAAATCTCATGAATCATATAACTTCTCCAATTACATTTTGACACTTTATCATTATGTAAACCATTATGTAAATAGTCATATATAAAAAGCATTTTCCAAAATTTCATGTGGAGACTAGAACCTAGCAAGTCATTAGTTTGTAGAAAAAGAAAACTTGCTAAAAGAAAAAACCGCATCATCCTGCATTCTGAAGGGAAAAAAAATATGTGCAGCAATGAAAATGAAGAACGTCTTGGAAATTTCTTAAACCATATATGATATACCAGTATGCGCTAGTGAAGCTAAGAAATACTTGCCTTCCCGAGAGTATATCACCCTGGCCACCACAGCGCCGAGGAGAGCCAAAAATGTTCACTGCACTAACTATATAAACCAGAGAAGAAATTAGAATTCTTTCAAGGATGACCTTCACAATATATACACAAGTGACTGATAAGTGTGTGTTTCGCACTTAATTATGACACAAAATAAATTGATTGTTATAAAATGCTCGAAAATGACTTAATTCATTACATATTGTTTTTGTAGGACTACTTTAATGGAATGAACGAAATATACGTGAAAAATGGTGAAAATGACTAA